GCTCTGTTCCCAGGGGCCTGGTTTACTCCTCCCAGTGCTTAGCTGTACCCTGTAGGCTGGACACACTGGCTGCTCCATATGGTTTGAGGCCACCAGGGTGGGAGAAACTCCTCGCAAGCTTGGGATCCCTGAGTGCTGAAAGGGCAACTGCCACTCTGCCCCTTCGACAGTTCCCCTTCTATCACAGGCCCCCTCCTGCCTTGGACTTCCAGAGCTGTGTTGTTGCAGGTAATTAAAGGGTTTTAATTAAATTAGGATCCCATCTGGCTGGGATCCGTCAGGCCCTTAACGAGGATTGTGTGTCACCAACATCAGAATGTGGATGGGGACTTAGACATGTGGGGGCTGAATTGGGGGACTAGAGGCCCTTCAGACAGGGGTAGAGGATCCTCTGAGCCCCTCCCAGGCTCCCAGCACTGCAGCAGCTTATTCTACCTCCAGAAATGGAGGCCATGTGCCCTAGCTGGCACAGGGGCCAAGGAGGACCAGAAGTCTCCCAAGTTCATGTTTGCCTGTGAGTCTATAGACCTGTCTGGCGTGTCGTAAGATGTGGGCATCATCTCAGTTCTACAGAGGATGAAACTGAGGTCCATAGGAACAGGTGCACTAACACCAGTGAATCACGTGGAGGTAGAGACCCAAAACACAGTGGCTTAAATAATGTAGAAGTTTTGATTTTTCTCAGTTAGACATGGTGGCTGGTAATCCCAGCTATTCAGGGAGCTGAGGAAGAGGACCTCAAGTTTGAGATCAGTCTGGACAACTTAGTAAGACCCTGCCTCAAGAAATAAAAGGGTTGAGGATGTAGCTTACTGATAAAGAACCACTGGGTTTGATCTTCAGTTCTGCCAAATAAAGAAGAACTTTGATTTTTCTCTTACCCCAAAGGCTGAAGGTAGGCCATGTGGGGCTGCTTTGGCATTTCTATTAAACAAATTTTCGGGGACCAAGACTTCTCCCAGCTCACCACTGTGCCATGTCTAAGGTGCAGCTTGTGTCCCCATAGTCTAACATGGCAGCTAGAATTAGCAGTCACAGAATTCCAGGCAACAGGGTGGAAGATGGAATAAAGAAGGAGCCAAGAGTATACACCGACTGCCTTAAGATTTCTGGAACTTGACATATAACCACTTGGCCTAAATGTCATTAGCCACATCTTAGTCACATGACCACAGCTAGGTATAGGGAGGTATTTCAGTCACGGTGTCCAGCTAACAACTGAGGATCTCATTACTATGGAGAAAGGAGAAATAGATACTGGGGGACTATGGGCTCTCTCTGCTATGTATATCACAGGGCAGCACCAGGACAGGAACCCGGGTCTCCTACCTCCAGTCTGGGGCCCTTTCACCTATTTTTATTGGGGAGAGGTTGAGGGGCACTGAGCCACATCCCCAGCCCTATTTTGTATTTTATTTAGAGATAGGGTCTCACTGAGTTGCTTAGCGCCTCACTTTTGCTGAGGCTGGCTTTGGACTGGCGACCCTCGCCTTAGCCTCCTGAGCCACTGGGATTACAGGCATACGCCACTGCACCTGGCTCCTTTCACCTATTTTTCCAAGAACTGAAATCAACACAACTTTATCTCCAACAGCAAAAAGAGGAAATAGCATTCAAGGAGCACTTTATTTTATTTTCCCAACAGGTCTCCAAGGAGTAGAACCTTAGTTTTCATAGAAAGGGGGCTGCAGGAGATTGTGTCTTTTGTCCAAGACTGCCCAGCTAATAAATTACAGGCCCAGGACAAGGACCTTCCTGGACCTCCTTGTACACCCATGTTACTTTTTCATTGATTCAGGAGGCGCTGTCTTGTCCCTTGGAACCACCTAGCCAGGTGTCCCTGCAATGATGCAGGAAGAGCCCTTAAACTAGGCATCCTTGGTGGGACTTATTATTGGACCAACCTTTGGGCTCAGCAGGCCAACAGGAAACAAGATCCCCTGTGGAACAAGGACCAGCCCCCAGGTCTCCTCTGGTATTTGTGCCTTGGGGATGGTGTCAGTTGCCACTCCAGGACTTTGGCATAATCAGCAGGTACCACCCCCACCCCATCTTGCCTCTGCCTGGTGGGGCTGATGGTGCCTCTTGTCGCCTGTCACCCCAGCCTCCGATTCTCCTGGCAGCACCGCAGGACTCAGAGTCTTTGGAAGTAACATTTCTCTCTCCCACTCCCAACCATGACATTGGATCACTTCCCACAGAGCAGAGCGACTGGTTCATTGTGTCTCCCTCATCCCCCTACACTGGGTGATCCCATCCTTGGTCATCCTATGACCTTCAGTTAACTCCACCCCCATAGTCCCTTCCCCAGCTTCCCCAACCACCCACCCACCTCTGTGCCTCTGAGCAATGGGCCTCTCTGCAGGAGTCTGCCACATGCAAGGTCATCAGCTTTCCTGCCAAGGATGGGGAGGGGGTGACTCAGTTCCTGCTTGCTCATCTCAGGGAAGAGAATGGAGGGACCAGACACCCATTCACTTTTGCCTTAAGCTCCGTCAAGAGGAGGACTCAGCATCACTGCCAGTTGACCTGACACGTGTTCGTTCCCTCTTGCTGGCTCTGCAGACAGCTGAGAAGGTGCACCCTGGAGATGGGAACAGCGAGGCCCAGGCAGTGCCTCTGTGCAGAGCTGAAGGGCAGAGGCAGCCTCCATGTGTCCTGTTGCTTAGAAAAGAGCGAGCCGTTCTCCCTTCCTCCATAGTGAGGTTCTGGGCATCGAAGGGGGGACTCCAGCCTGATGAGGGAGGCTTGGCCTCCACCCGGGGACCCTCAGTAGGAAGGGTCCCTGCCCTCAGGGAGCACTCAGTCTGACGAGGGAGGCACAGATGCTGGCCTCAGGAATTTCCTAATCTAATGAAGGCAGCCCAGCCCCTGACTCCAGGTGCTCCCCAATTTGATAGAGTGGGGGATGCAGTCATGTCTTCAAAGAGCCCCTCGTCTGGTAGGCTTGCTTCAGGGGCTCCATTCTGATGGGGGAGACTGAATGGATGTGGGAGCAAGACAGGACCAGCAGAATGGAAGAGTCCAAGGAGAGTTCAGATGGCCCTGAAGGGCTTCAGGTGGGGTGGGGGGTATGGAGAAGCCACAGGGTTGGGGTGAAGGTGGGCCCTGGACTCTCTCAATGCGGAGAAGATGAGCTCCTTCAAGAGGAACCAACATTCCCATAAGTGTGGGAATGGCTGGGGTGGGAGGTCACACCACTTGGAGGGCCCCTCCTATGGCCTGGTGAACATCCCTGAGCCTTTCTGAACTCCAGCTGGGGTCCATCTCGGTGGGGGAAGTCATAGACTTTGCCCTCAAGGACAGAGGTAGCTGCCTTCTTAGACCTGGTAAGTTGAGTGGACCTGTTACTCTTGTGAATATATGAGGATTCAGGATATATCTGGCAAGAATAGTAGTGACCAGAGGCCTGTTCCAAAGAACTAAGATTGGGAATGAAGTCTGTTAGCAAAATTCAAGCTAGAAGAACAGCGTGGTTGCCCGGGAAGGCAGGAAAGGAGGAACGAGGCAGCAGTGTGCATGAGGGTGAAATGAAGTTATTAAAATGAACCCACCCCCTGTGCAGGCAGAACTGTGTGCCAGGAAGGCCGAGCCCTCCAGCTGTCGGCAGCATCTGGCTCTCTGCAGGAGCAGAGGAGCAGGAGGGGGTGGGTCAGAGCGCCCCCAGGTCCTGCTGAGAGTTCAGCCGCCACACAGGACTGGGAGCTGGGGACAGCCCCACGGCTCCTTCCTGTCTTCCTCCAGACCCCACAGCATGATGCGAGGTCCTCCTTGGTGTCTGGAGGGCATCTGTAGGTGGAAGTACCTCCAGATTCCAGCAGTGCCAAGCCTCCTGTCCCTGAGCCTCTCTGAACTCTCAGCACCTGGCCACAGGGTAGAGAGGGAGAAAGAGGCTTGGAGAGGCTTGTGTGTCTCAAGTTGGCTCAGGAGAGGCGGCCCCAGGAAGCAGGGGGTAAGGGAATGCTAGAATGGGAACATGAGCTCAAGCCACTTCTTTCTGGGTCACTTCACACAAGGTGGGTTTGCACCAAGGTGGCTCTTAAGCCCCCATGGCTCTGTGCTGCAGTGTGCGGCAGCTCCGTGCTGCTGGGCAGGAGCAAAGGCCAGGGGTGGTGGGTCCATGCGTCCTTGTACAGGTCTTTCCCCACTGTGGTGACACTGCCGAAAGGGATCCAGGGAACCTGAGCACTGACCTCCCAAGACAGCAGACCCAGAATGACCTCCAGAGGGACAGGGGACAGGGTGGAGTGGGGTGAGGCTCTAGCCTTCCCCTCACTGATCCCCTAAAGGGCCAACCTGTTTCCTGGTAGGGAGTCATGGGCAACCATCCATTCTGAGGCTTGCCGGCTGGGAGAAGGGAATGGCTGCCTTCAGTCCCCTTTGTCCTTCACTCCACCCCATCCTTAGGACCGAGGAATCTGTGTGGTCACGACCTTCTAGGTAATTCGGATGCCCACTCACATTTAAGAACCCCTGGTCTGGGCAGACCTCTCCTGTTAAAACTGAAAGAGACCAGAGAAGACAATGAACAAGGCCACACAGAAAACTAATGGCAGGGCTAGGACCTACTGGTCCTCTGACACTAGGGCTGGCCTGGGTGGCAATTCAGGGAGGACACGGTGTTCCTGATTTGGCCCATCCCACCCGCCAGCTCTTCCTCCTTGAGCTGCTCTTGCAGAGGCCACCCCCAGCCCCATGAGCACCAAGCATGGGGTAGTCACTCTGGTTCCGGTGCTGGATCTGATGGCCTGGAAAGGGGCCTGGAGAGGGCAGCCCTGGAGCCTCAGCGAACACCAGCTCCAGCAGCTGATGGAGCCTCGAGGCTCTGCTGCCCCTGAGAAATGCTGACCAGACCAGGGACTCTTGGGGACCCCTCCCTGGACAACTCAGAATGCAGTGTCCTGGGGGAAAGCTTTATTCCCTGTTCCAAGAACAAGACTCTGCACAAGGAAGTTGACAATCAGGTGATTTCACGAGACTTCCCGCCCCTCCCCCCCGCCCACAGACAGACACTAGGGAACAGACCCAGCATGCCCTCCGTCCTACCCCAGGCTCGTCCCTATCAGGAGAGGTGCAGTCTGACAGGTGGGGCTGACTATTGAGGGACCACTCTCAGAAGGGGGTGCAGTGCAGGAGGGACACAGCACACAGGTGGTCTTCCACCCATGGCCTTAGTGCTAGGAGGACCACCACCGTCCTCAGTTTGAGAATGGTGTGCTATCAGCAAGAGGGTGGGTGAGAGAGCAGAGTGCTGGCAGGAGAGGGCACTGTGGAAAGGGGTGGCTGGCTGCAGGCCGATGGTCTATTTGTCCAAACCTCAAAGCCCTCCTGGTGACCACTTGAGTCTCCTGCTGTTCTCTGTGCAGGAAAGGGGCTAGAGCTGCCTTCCATGGGCTCCAAGGAAGCCTTGCCTCAGCCAGCCATCCCGAGCTATTACTTGGTGCATCCACTGATGACCCCCCCCCCCACACCGCCTGATGCTATCTTCTCTCAGGATGGCCAGGAGGGAGCCAGGGACTTCTCCATGACTTGATCTGGGACCATCCTGATCTGCCTGCTCAGGGCTGGCCTCTGCCTCGGCTCAATGGGAAGCCCTGTAGGGTGCCCAGAGCCCACTCCTCCTCCAGTGCTCCTGGGTTCCAGTAGCTCCACAACCTCGGGTTGGGGCCAGCACTGGGGACCCTTCCCCTCCACTAGAGACTTGGTCCTGGCCCCACCTGGCATCTCCTTCTCTCCACCCCCCTCCCTGCCTTGAGGCCCATCCCTTTCCCTGCCCAGCATCCAGACAGATGGCCTCCTGCACCGGCAGGCCTGTCCTTCCAGCCCTGGCCTGGCCTCTGTGGCCTGCCCAGGGTCACCCAGAGGGGTAGTAGGGGGTGTCGCTGTGGTAGTTGTAATCAGGGCACACCTTCTGGACCAGTCGGTAGTCTGTGCTGTAGAAGGCAATGTAGACGCAGACGACTTTGAATGGCTGGGAGCAGCTCCAGGTGGCTGAACTCTGCGCATGGTCTCGGGAACAGGTTTTGGCTGGGTCGTGGGTGCAGAGGGAGGTCCGGCGGCCCCGCTCTACCTTCTCCCACTCCATCCGGCAGTTGAAGATTTTGGATGCCTTGGCTTCAATGAAGATTTGCTGTTCCTGGTGGAACTCCACAGCTTTGCTGGGGGGCACAAGGCTGATGGAGATGTTGCCCTGACCCGTGGCATTGTGGCGGAAGTGGACGCTGAAGGTCCCGTTGCCGTGGTCCACTATCTTCCCCGTGACGAGCAGGTTCAGGGCCACTGTCTTGATGTTGGAATAGAAGTCACCCCAGCCAAATATTTTCTTCACCTTGGCCGAGGGTGGTGGGGTGTGGTTTGGGCGGTTGGGGTGCTGCCCAAGGACCCCCCAAGCCTCCCCAGGTGGAACCAGCAACCCTAGGAGAGTGGAGTTGGCCATGGGGCGGGACTTAGGTGAGATGTGGCCCCGCTTCCGAGGCACCCGGGGCCGGGGCTGGCCCTCATGGTCATCATGCTCAGAGTCCTCTGAGCCAGGGGGACCATCATCCTGGCCACAGATGACCTATGGAAGGGAGTTGGAAAGACAGTGAGAGCTCTGTACCCAAAGAACCCAGGAGTTCTGGTCTGCCACTCCCTACCACAGTGTTATCTCTGTCCCTGTCTTTTCCTTCGACTCTGACTCAGGCTGAGGGGCTCCTGCAAGGTGCCCATTTATGCTGGGGTCAGCATGACTGTGGCTTGAATGATGGTCCCATCTCTTGCTTGGACACTTAAGTCATTCCCACAACCTCTCCCTACTGTCCTGCCTTCAAATCTGGAAGGATTGTCAGAAATTCTTTCTAGTGGACTATGGCACCAGAGACCCAAGGCCCTGCCCTAGGCAGTCCCACTTTGATGGGGTAGACTCAGCTGCTGATCTTGGAAAAGTCCCATCTGATGGCAAAATCCCCTAGTCTGATGGAAGAGGTACAATGCCTGCCTGCCTCTGTGAAACACCCAGGCTGGTCCTAGAGGCACATTCTCTGCCCTCAAAGAGCCCCGAGTCAGCTAGGGGAGCCCCTTACTAACCTAGGGTCTTCTAGTAGACAGGGGAACAGTTCCTGCCTTTGGGGACTTTCCTAGCCTGTTGGGTAAAACACCGTCCCTAACCTAGGATAACTACTACTCTTCAATGCAAAAAGAGCCAACAGTCAGTGAAATAAGAACACAGAATCCAGTGAAATTCTCTGTCAAGTACAAATAAATGCAGCGTAGGTTTTGGCAGGAGGACTAGGGGGAGACGGGAAGGGAGTGCCACACCCAGGATGGCCTAGGGTATGGAAAGCCAAACACTTCTCTGGGGAACATTGATGATGACATGCCAAGATGTTACTTGCATTATGAGTAGGAGTTCTGATTATTCCCATTTCACAGAGGACATCAGGGCTCAGAGGTTACATCAGAGCAAACAAGGCTAAGGTCACATAGGGTCAGCCTTCCTATTACGCCATGTATTCCCAGCCTCACAGACCAGATGTCTTTTAAAAAAGAATTTTATCCAAGCCCCATTCCCAGTCCAAATGTCCTGTAAAACTCTGCCAGGCCTGGACCTGCCTCTGCGGGCTCAGTTAGGTGACAGGCAGCACCCAGGGAGGCTTCCTGGAGGAGTGATGAGAGCCAGCAGAGCGGGCCTGACCCAGGTCCTTGGCAGCTCTGCAGGGCCTCACTCAGGGAGGTTAGAAGATTTCCTGAGGGCAGTGGCCTGCTTGTGTATTTGTTTAGTTTTTGAGAGTTCTCACCCATTTGCCTGCCACCAGCCCCAGGGACACAAATTCAGCCGGCAATGTGTGGGTCTGATGGTGATAATGGGATGGGGCTGCTGGATGTGGATATCCAAAGCAGTTTGGGGGTTTCCTACCCCTTGTTATGGCCTTGGAAGGGCCTGCCACTGTGCTGTGGCCAAGCCCATCTCTGCCCCAAGGCCAAGGCTGGCCTGCCTGGCAGGGTCCCTGGTGGGGTTCAGGAACATCCGGGAAGGGAGACTCCAGGGGCTCGGTTCAGGGCTGCTCACCTGCATGTACTCGACCCTGGGGGTCACAGCTGAAAGGGCCGCAGGTAAGGACTAAGCAGGGAAGGGCTCTTCCAACAGTGGAACGAGGGTGCTGGCAGAGGGGATTATTATTTTGAGAGAAGAGGCAGATCCAGATGTGCAGCTGAGGCTTCTCCAGGATGGATTTGGGGCGGGGTGGGGCGGGGGGCGTCGGGCTAAGAGTAGCAGGGGAGTTAAGCCTGGGTTGGGGTCGGGGGTGGGGTTCTCTGCGTCCTGGGCCGCCGGGAAGCCGCGAGACAGCGCCCGGGGAGCGGGTTCAGGGCGCTCCACTCATCTACCGCGAGCGCCCGGGGCGGGAGCCGCCTGCCCAGGTCCTGTGGGGCTCCGGCTGCGCGCAGCCAGGAGAGGAGAGGAAAACAACAGGCGAGGAGGGAGGGAGCGGGAGGGAAGGCGGCAGGGAGGGACGCAGGGGCCGCCCCCTGCCTGGACCGTCTCCGCGCGCTGGAGCACCCAGAACCCAGGGCTCTCTGGGTCCTAGAGGTCAGGGGAGAAACCCGTGTCCCCTGACCTGGCAGGTCACGGGCTCCACACCTACCCCTCCATCCTCGTTCCGCGCGTCTCAGGGTGCCGGGAAGGGGTCGGATAACCCTTGGCGACCCGGCTCCAGGCCTTTTCCCTAGTGCTAGTCGCACCTCCGGCCACCAGCCGCGGAGTGGGTGGGCCAGTCAAGCACCCTCTCCCCGCCCCTATTAACCCTATCTGTCCAGTCTCCGGCCTCGGACCCGCCCTCTCCCCCAGCCTCCAGTCTTCCCCTCCATCCCTGGGATACCGGGGGAAGGGAGAAACTTTCTCAGGGCTCAGAAGCTTCCCGCGCTCTCCCCCGATCCTCCGGCCCCCGCCCCTCCGCGGAGCTCCCCGCGGACCACTCACCAGATAGAGGCTGCCCTGCACTAGGAACACGAAGCAGCAGCGAGTCAGTTGCATCGTCCTCTTCTGCTCTTGTCCGCCTTCCTCTCTTTTTCCTTTCGGGGTCCCAGGCCCCTTTCTCCCCTTCCTGCTCCTTTAGGCGCGCCGTCCCATGCTCCAGTCCTTGGCGGCTCGCGGCCCTCCCCTCAGCCAGTCTCTCAGGACCGACCCCGCCCCCTTCGGTCCAGCTGTACAGCCGCCGCCCCCCACACCGAGTCCAGCTGTGCCCGGCGCCTCCCCGCTCGAGGTCCCAGATGTGTGCCCCGAGCGCCTCGAAGGGCTCCAGCGGCTCCGCGGCTCTAAATATGCGCTCCGCGCCCCTCTGGGTTCCAGCAGCTCGTCTCTCGCCCAGATGTGCTGGGGACCACAGCGCGCGCGCCCGTCCCCGGTGCTAATTCCCCAGACCAGACGGCCCCTCCCGCCCCGTCGCAGCGCGCCCCCTGGCGGACGCCCCGGGCTGCGCTGAGCCTCTGCCGCCCGCTCCCCGCGCTGCGCCCCGCCGGACTGGAGCGCTCCTGGCGCCCAGGCGGCTCCGGCTTCCTCGTCCCTCCCACTGGCGGCGGCGGCGGCGGCAGGTACGGTGAGCCCAGTCGGTACCTCCGGAGTTAACTCCTCCCCTGCCGGCCCACAGCTCGGGGACCGAGGACGCTGGCTCTCCAGCGAAGGGGGCAGGATGTGGGGCGGAGTAATTGGGAAAGGAACAGAGAGGGTGATAGCAAGGCGTAAGGGCTATACCTTTTCAACCCCTCTGTCAGGAACCTGTTTTCCCAAAGCAGGCATCAGAAATCTGCTGCCCTACCCCCAACCCTGAGTCCTGGAATTTGGAAAGATAATTTTTTCCAAACCCATTCTAAGAGGACATCTTCCTATTGTAGTCTTCTAAGTGTCTAGCCTTCACTCCTTTTGTTATCACGGTGCATTCCGTTTCTTCTTAGAGGACCTGGGAGTATCACTAGACCTTAGTAATAACTGAGGAGCGTTTGTCTGGGGTCCTAATCACTAGGCACTAGGCTGGATTCTGGGACAGGGGGCAAGGCTAAACCTCCTGAGAAGTAGGGGAATGAGGTGGGCAAGGCCTCCCGGGAGGCTGTCCCTCTGTTGTTCACTACTTACCCTCTCTGTGACACAGAGGGGTCACCAAGTTGAGAGGGATTCCCGAGGCTCTAGTTGGATCTTTGGTCTCTGCAAAGGTTTGCAGAAGGACAAGAAGGAAGAACTAAGACCCTCATATTAGATTCCCAAAGGCAGGGGCCTATCCTCCATCATCCCCACTGCCTGACATTTAGGGGTTTTTTAGTCTTTAGCAAAATAAAAGGTCAAGCCCTGGTACCTCTTGGAGGCTGTGAGGGTGAGGAGGTACCCAGCATTTGGAGTGGTTCCAGCCTGGGCTGGGTTTGGGGGGCATGCACTCTTCCCTATGGCCCTCTGAGGTCCAGCTTGGTCCCTGGCTGCAGCCCCCAGCACACACCCAGCCTCCTCCCCCACCATCTGCCAGGCAGGTGCACGGGGAATGCAGATGAATCTTAATACCAGCCTGGGCCAAGTTTGAAGAGGGAGACAGACTCTGCAGAACCAAGACAGCATCACAGAGCCCCCTGTGTTTCCAGGCACCCTAGGTTCCTAGGCAGCAGCTCTTCCTGGCGGTGGTGGGGGCCTGTCTACATCTAGTCAAAGACCCCCAAAGCCAGGGGAGGAGGGAACAGGTAAATCCATGTCTGGCCTCTCAGCCTCTAGTCTGGCTGAAAGGAAGAAGCTGTCAGCCTGAGCGTGGGCAGCTAGTTCCGGTGCTCAGCTAGGCAGAGGCATAGCTGAGCCCACTCCTTGTCCAGTTCAGAAGGTCCTGTCCCCCCAGGAGAGCAGTGTGGCTGAGCAGAAAGCTCCATTTTCAGGCCAGACAGTTCTAAATTCCACTCCAGACCTGGACCTGCTGTGTGACCTTGGGTAGGTTACTTTGGTTCTCTGATGCCAGTTTCCTGATCTGTTGTTGCAAGAACAAAATGAGATGAAATGTGCAAACAAAGTGCAGGCGCGTTGGCTGGCGGGTAGTCGTAGGAGTGCAATAAATGGAAGTTCTCGCTTTTCTACTTCCCACACATGTGCTTGGGCTGCTTCTCCTGCTAGGCTTGCCCTCGCTCCCCTCTTGGTCATTTCTGGCTCTCACTTCCTTCAAGTTTCTGCTCTGCATTCATCCATCAACCACCGGCTCAGCCTGTCCTCAGTGCCAGGCACCAGGCCAGGGGCTGGGAATCAGAGATGAATGGGACATCATCCCTGCCCTCAAGGATCTCATTGACTAGTGTGGAATAGAGACATGAAAATTAATAGGTATAACCCACTGTGGTGAATAGAATACCAGATCCTCGCACAGGGCATTATACGGATCACTAAGGAAGGGAGGGATGGGGCAGGAAGGTCAGGGGCAACTTTCTGGAGAAGGTGTCATGAGATTGTGGGGAGGTGTCTTGGCCAGACAAGGGCTATTCCTGGCAAGGGGCATTGAGTGATCACAGGTCTGGAGGCTAGACCTGGAAGCAGCCTGCTTGCTGTTCCTACAGCCCCGAGGGAGGAGGGGAGGCAGGTCAGATGATGAGGAGCTTACGTGTCAGTTAACGGGGTTGGGACCCTTGTCCATGGGGCACCTTTGAAAATGTTTAAGTAGGCTGGTGATGATACCAGATTCGCATTTTAGAAAGTTTTTTTTTTTTTTTGAGAATTCATTAGAAAGAGGAGAGGCTAGAGGGAGAGAGAAGGGGAGAGACTCAATCAGGAGATGCATGCACTGGTCTGGGGCAGGTGGGGAGGTGGAAGACATCTTTTGGAGGCAAAGGGATCAGACTGGGTTGATGCTGAGGTGGGGGAGGGGAGAGAGGGAGTGAAGCCTGCTGCCCACTTCTGTGGCTTGGGTGACAAGCTGGATGATCAGTGAGGGGGCACCACAGGCGAGGGAGGAGGGTGGGACCTGGGGAGGCGGGTGAAGGAGTCAGCTTTGATCATGCCAATTCTGGGAGCTTTGGGCCATTCAAGAGCAGGAGAAAGCTGAGCCTAGAGTGTGGAAGATGCTAGAGGAGCAGCAGGCCTGGATGGAGGTGCCCTGGGTGTGCTGGCATTTAAGAGATGGGCAGAGGAAGAGAACCACCAAAGGATCCCAGGAGGAGTGGGTGTCCAGGGGCGAGGAAGGCAGGTGGGGCCGATCCAGGAACTCCAGAGGGTCTCATGCTTGGCATGAGTGTGCCCACCAGAGCAGGCACAGTGCAGGGTGAATGCCATGCAAAATCTAAGGTGCCACCTCCATGGAGGTGGGGACCTAGGACTTTGTGTTTTTATAGCCCCTACCCCACCCAGGGGATGTGGGATATGGATGGAAGTGGCCCCTGGACCCTACCTCATTGTGGTAAAACCCCAGTGTAGGGAGTGTCAGCCACAACACAAAGGAGCAGAGAGACCCAGCAAGGGAGAGACAGAAAAGTGACCACCCACCCAGTGTAGTTGAGATTCTTCAGCCACTTCACCCAACCTTGGTCCCTCCAGCTGCTCCCAGGGCAGGAAGAAAGACTGTAGGCATAGTGCGCTGTGTACCAAGCAGAATCACACAGCTCTGCCTGCCTTTCAGGCTCAGGATCCTCTGTCCCTCAAGCCTCTCCCCCACCATGCAGTTCACACAGTAGGAGCTCATCTAAAGAGGAAGGTATGAATGCACTAGTCTCACCCTGTATCCACTAGGGTTGGCTGGAGCATTTGCTTAGCATCTCTGATGCCTTCCCCTGCTTCTCTCATGGCTGGAAGTATCCTGCCTATATGGCTTCCCTCCTCCCCGCCTCCCCAGTGCTCCTGGAATGAACACAACACAGTGGGCACCTGTTCAGTGCTTAGCCAATGAATGGGAAATGGGGTTCCCAATGGTTTGAAAGGCAGAGAGTAGATGCCATTGAGCCAGCCGGAGAGGAGAGGTCTGGGAGGGCGGGTGAAAGGAGATCATTATTGTTGATAATCTCTCATGTTTAGCTGGCAATTTGCAATTTTAAAGTGTTAAGATAGAGCGCTGTGTATAGGTATTAGGGAGGCCTAGAGGGAAACCCTAATTCAAATGAAAGGCCAAGCTCGGATCCCAGAGAGATTAGTCTGAAATGATGTGTGGATCAGCTCAGGTGGGAGGGGAAGGAAAGAACCTTCCAGGCAGAGGAAGCAGCTCATGCAAAGGCCAGAGATAAAAGCAAGCCTGGGAGTGGGGCTCTGAGGTGGATGGGATGAAAGACTCATTTGTTCCACAAATAGTTATCAAGTGTCTACTTTTATGTCCGGTCCTGGGCTGGGTGTGGGGTGCAGCTGCCAAAGGTCTCTACTGTTCTGCAGTCCTTATTTGCATGGAGACTTTGGGCTGTGAAGGAGACAGAGATGAAATAGCAAAGCACATGAAAACATGAGCCCTGAGATGGGCAAGTGGTACAAAGGAAGAAGAAAGGCAAGTTCCAGGAGAGATAGGAAGAGGGGTCCTCACTGACTCAGGCCTAAAGGATGAGGAAGCCTGAGTCAGCCAGAGAGCAGAGTGGCGCCTTCCAGCAGAGGGAACAACACGGGTGGAGACCCTGAGCCCAGGGAGTGCTTAGTACTTTGGAGGAGCTGAAAGAAGGTGAGCATGGTGAAGACAGAGAGAGGACACAAGGCCACCAGAGGCGGGGGGGGGGGGCAGGGGCTTGAGAGCCCAGGGCTTTACGGGTTGGGGTATGGGTTTGCGGTTTCATTCTGTGATTGAAGGCATCTGTTTTGGT